TTGAACAACATTGCGCGGTTCAAGTTTAATGTTATCACGGATAATTTTTTTAAGAAGTTTGTCAAGAGAAATATTGACACAACAACTGAGAGAATTGTTCATCGTTTCGCGTCGGTAGACACTCTGAAACTTTGTTCTGTTGTAAATATCCCCTCCAATTTATTTATCTAGTTATTATTTTAATCACACAGTGTAACAGGAGCCCTTACTTAAATATAAAGCCGAATTAGATTTTATTCAGTCCGACAAATTGGGTTGAAATTTCCCCAGTTCTGCTTACTCACGTGCAGTTGTAACTGAGCGTATGGATACAGCGCGTGTGTGACAGCCTTTACGGTAACAACCTGAATAAAGTACTGATAACATAGGCTGTAACCTGCTATGTTGTTGGCTCCATCCGTGCGTCTGTTTGCGGAGAGCAGATTGAGGAACTCGGCTCTAGATGCTACTGTGTTTCCCTTACTCACTACTGTGATCGAGAGAGGTCAGCACCAAGTCGGGGCAGTTCCCACGGACGGTGTTCTTAACGAGCAACCCCCCCCCGCCCCCCTCATCATCTTCCCTACCCACAGCTCCAGGGCTGAAGCTCATCTCTGCTTGGGCTACAAAGACGCTCTGGATGTGGAAACATCAATCGGACTGAAATAGGTTGAATATACATGTGATCTTGTACGGAAATATTTCTTTCCTTCTATATTCAAACTCTTTAGTCTAGAAATGGGCTAGTCTGCTTTCTCTCTTGCGAGAACAACGTGGAAGCCCGTGGATTGGGCACTGGGAGAACGATGTATCTGATGGACACGATAGTAGGGCCCGTTTTCAGTTCTGCAGTCTCTGTTGACATGGATACCGCTTGTAAAACTGACAATTAATGCTAATGGAATTCCTAGTGCCCTGTGTCACGGATATGTATCTGGCTTTCTGCCAACAGACGTGGCGGTATAATATTCCCTTCGTATTGAAATGCTGTGCCTGTGAATAGCTGTTTTACATTTGGACGTAATGTAAACAGCATAACACTACGAAATTGTATCAAACTTGTGGAATTCATCGAGTAAGGCTATGACAATTTAAAGACTGTGATTATAGTGTTACTAGTAGAGCGAGGTAACTCTGGCAAAATTGGAGAAATGTTTGCATGTCATGTAAATCTTTATTGCATGAATGCGTATCACAGGCCTTATCATTCTGTACTTATCGTTGAATATAATAGAAATTAATTATTATTTTAAACCCAGCGTTTTTACCGAGACTCCGACCCAAGGTAGCTCTCGATTTGAAAACCTGCCGAAAAATGTTTCGTCCTTATATCATTCTTTTTAAGGGGTTACGGAAGCTATCTTCACCCGGACTCAAATCCAGGACAGATTTTTTTCTGGGTCTTGGATTTTGTTCTGTAATCTACTCTCAGGAGCAAACGACCTTGACCTCAGCGCCGTTCTTTTGTTGTGCTTAATTTCCGAGCTACATAAATCACCCTCACTCGGATTCAAACTCGGAACACTTTTGTGTGAATTGGACTGTCCGATGGCACGTAAACGTACCCACAGTGTGTCCTAGCGCTGACGGTCGCTTTGTACGGAGTCCTATGTCGCGAGATTGATGTGTCGTAGAATTCAGTATACGAGGTCTTTAGGGATGTCCCATTGGCTGTCAGTAACCCAACTGCTACTGTTTGTACGACGTAAATTATTAAAATGATCTGCTCCACAGAAGTCTGTGATGAAACACAAATAACAGAGTAAATAAAGCAGTAGTTCTTTGTTGGCATGAATATCGTGTGGAGCTGGGAGTAAAAAAAACAAACAAAACTACCGCTGTGTGTTTAAATGTTTAACTTTTTAATTTGTCTCTGTAAATTCGCGTGCGATGTTTATTGGACGTGAAACGGCAAACCTGCCGTGGTATGGAACATTCCGGAGCATCTGAAAGTACGCATCTACTGTTCCAACTGTTAACCGGTTCTATTGTCAGACCAGTTTTTGTTGCTAGGTAGAGCTGTGGCCGTTTGTAATTGACCGATTCATCCATTGAGCATGAAGTTTAGGTAGCTTCAGGATTTCAGTTTTTAACGTGTAAACAATGCATGAGGTAGTATCTGTTATATCAAATCGAGTACACACAGGTATATCTATCTATATATTCCTTTTTTAAACTGGAGGAATTTCAGCTTCGATTGTAGATTTCGAGGACAGGATCCATCGGATAGAAATCTCTTGTTGGGAGATTACAAAGAATAGATATTAAAAATCGCCATCGTGGTATATTTCTAATTTCCCTGTAAATTTCCATAGTCCTCGCTTAATTCTAAGCCTCTATTAGTTAATCCTGAAAACAGTCCCAAATGTCTTCCCAGAGGAAAGCTGTAATAAGTTTCATTTGATGAATTAATCCTGATAACAGTCCCAAATGTCTTCCCAGAAGAAAGCTGTAATAAGTTTCATTTGATGACAATGCTACTAACGAAACAGCCTTCTTCAGTACTACTACTTACAGAAAAACTAAGTATAAAATAAAGTTAAGACTATTTCTTGCAAGTGACGATTCACTCTGAAGTATTTGTCTGATCTATTGATGAACCTTCGAGTACCATAAGGAAGGTAGGCTGTTCTTTGACAAGCCGAGTAACAATCGACTTTTCAAAGAATATCCTGCACCACAGAGAGAGAGAGAGCGCAAAATAACCATGTCGCTGTGACCGATTAATAAAAATCTTTGCAATAAACGATAATAATTAAATTATTCAGTTATTACTCTTTACATTTAATTCCATGAAACTCGATAACTAGAAATGAGTATTAACTCCTCATTACAGTATTCTGGCTGGAAATTTATGACTCAGTACGAACATTTATGCTGCGACAATTAAAAAAATTCATGCCGATGCAGCGGTATTTTCATGTGTTGGTTCCACTGTAACCGAGCTGCTGGTCTCTAAGGATAGGTTTTATAGCTCTGCGGTTATTATATCACTTTACTCGTATATAGGTGGGGACTGGTCAGAAATTGCTCCTTGTATGCAGGCCACCCAACATGCTGTAGGGAGAGAGGTCAGCTGAGCACTTCGGATGTGTAGTGGGAAATGGCAACCGATGCAATTATAGGAGCCTGCAGTGGGGACGTTGCAAGAAGAAAAGAGAGAAATCTGTGGGGAGGGGGAGAAAGGTTGTAGGAACTTCATAAGGTAAATGAAACGCAATAAATTAATTAATGCCTTTCCTTTCTCCTGTCCTAATGGCAAATAGAATTAGACCCTTTTACCACCACTGGAGTGTCACGTGTATGGCGGGTGATAGAATGCAGATACTTTGAGGGGTCGTCGTGTGGATAGTGGATGCTATATCGTCATTACATTAAGTTCCAGTGAGTCACATTTGTTGCAGGTTATGACGGTCCTAATAAAAGCTTCCCCAAAGTATTCTCGGGAGTCAGTGGGTAATTATTAGTGACATTTTACAGCCGCCCCTTGATGATACCTTCTGATGTAGTTTACTGTTAATGCACATGGGCGTAAGGCAAGTGGCACAGTAGTCCGAACTTAAGTGAGAAAACATTTTTAAAATGTTGTCGTCAAATGAATCCCAGGGATACAAATGCGTACGGTTGTTCTGTTCTTAAAATTACCACTTTCATGTACGGAGGCAAGAATGTGCTTATAATTCGTCGATTTTAAGAAGAGATCCAGCCCTCCGGCTGAGACTTTATATTCTGTTGCTCTGTGTTTTTTCAAAAAAGTGTATTTATGAACTACATTTGATTCTTGGAGTAACGGAGACTATTTCATTAATATCGTTAACCAGTTGATATATGTAATGGATACCTGCTGTTTAATTTGCGATTAGAACTAATATTTTTAATATTATTTAGGCGAGCTTCGGCTTGAAAAGTTTAATTCTTCGTCAGAAAAGAACTTGTTCTTAATATACATGCTGTCAGAAAATCAGACAGCATCTTTAAATTACACTTTAACTCAAATTAATCCTTCGAATAATGTATATGCCACATGTATTGTTGGGGCGTATGATGATGTGTTGAGTTTTACTTTGAAGGGGATGTATTTCGTTATTATTTTTAACATTCCAGGGGAGTGTCGGTCGGCTTTGGGCATGGAGGAAGGTCGAATCCCAGATACGGCCATCACAGCAAGTTCGTCATACGAAGCCAAGTCCGTCGGTCCGCAGAACGCACGGTGAGTACCTGGACAGAGCTTTTATTTGATTGGTTGGCTTCAATCCACTGTAACACAGATTCTCCAGGTGTTACGTAAGTTTCTGTGAATGGAGTGCTCGTAGACAGACAGACAGACAAACTCTGCAGCGAAAGCCCGGTAGATCGAACTGTTTAAGCTCGTTAAACCGTACACATTTACTAAGGCACACGAGCCGCTTGTAAAATGTTATACTTGCTTTATTCCCTCTGTATTGTCTGAAAAATTAGCGACTCTATGCCAATTTAGTTTGTTAGAAATCTTCACATAATGTATTTTTCTATGAAAATATATTACGAGTCTCAGCTTTAAATGAAATCTATTAAGAAATTAGTCTGTCACATTTTATTTGTCTGTATGTAAAAGAGGGCGTTTAATTAAAGTACCCGTTTTATTCAGTTCTCTGCCCCTGTAAATATGCTGAACGCTAGTCGCCATGATCGCGCTTTAAGAAGGGCACACACATCCCATATCCTCTATTTTAATTCCATTAGGCGGTCGTATTTATACTGACAATAATAACATTTTTGTTCTCCCCCGTTTCAAAGTCTAATTTCCATTTCACTTTGCCCCAAAAATTGTGTAGTTTTTAAGCACGATTTTTTCGTCCGTGGAATCCCATTTCTTTGATTAGGCTTTCTATGAAATTGGCTGTCGTTATGTCCTTTTGCTATTACGTTCCGTTGCCATGTGCCTGAAGACAGGATGCATTTACAGAGTTATACTACACCTTAATCTGTGTTTCTCATCTGTTATTTTGTGGGTTATATGATTCTAGTATTGAGCCTTTTTCTTTACGTGTTGTAGCGACTTTGGATGAATTTGTACAGATGCAATAAAACTAACGTCTCTTCATATTTAAATGTGTTTCTATGAATGTTAAGAAAGTTATAGGAAAGCGTGAAACAAACTTGTTTTTTCATTGAAAATTAATATAGTTTTTATAAGTATATGAAGTCGGATATAAGATTTAAATAAAATTCACGGCTTGGTGGAGTCGTGATTTAAAATCATTTGGAATGGTCGAATTACTATTTGGAAATTTACATAATAATATTTTTGTAACACGTATGAAAACTGATGTCCCAAGATAGGTTTCCTAGAGATAGTACACCACTGTACACTATAATATTGTGGCCCCACTGCCTTTCGCGTCATGTTAGACGCGTCTTTAATTAAGATGTTGTAATGCCATGTACACCCCTACGAAATATTGAATCAGTGAGGTAAATTTTAGAAAAATAGACTTGTTTGTTAATAATTTCTTTGTGTGTGTATGGTTAGGTGATGAAGTTCATAAACTGTGTTACGTTGCCTGCTTAAAGTCGTGAACGTATTTAGTTACGAATCCGATTATAAATGTTTGTTCTCTTTTATACTGGTTTAAAGTTTGTAAACTTTACCTTCGCTGTGAAACCAGAATTTGTGAAATATTTCTCTACTTCACATGGAGTGCCTTTTATAAGTCGAAATGTATTAGGTAGCTAACAAGTCGTAAAAGCAGTTTTTATGCGGGGTTGCACTGTAGGCTTTTGTACTACGTAGTCTGAGTAATTTATTAGATTAGATTTGTCTGGTGTAATATCATAATACACATCTTTGATCATGTGCGTTTCAAGTGCCGATGCCCGTGTTGAATTGGGGTGAGGATTATTCTGGAAGGCTACCAGTGGTTGGAGAAGCTTCCTTTGATCTTGTTAACCAAAGTTTTCCTTTCTGGATACGTTCTGTTTTGAGCCCGGGGCCCGTAGGATATGTTTCCTAGCCCGTTCTCCAATACTTTCTGTGTACAAGCTCTCGTCCATCTATCTAACCGATATCTCCGTTTTCATGCCGTCATCAGACGGTTTACTTTGCCTTTGAATTTTCTTCTACCTGACGTTCTGAACTCTGTGAACGTTGCCTCTCAATCGTATCCGAGAATCGATGACGATATTTTAGGCTACAATAAATGATTTTGGTTTTCTAGGAATGGCTGTAGATAAAGCTACAAATACAATAGGATTTCACACTGTTTACTACATATCTTTAAAAAACATTGATTTTAACAGACATTTGCTTGGGAAATGGTTTTGTTTTCATTATTATTTTATTACGTCACGGGAGAACGCACGTTATTATGTTTGAATTACTTATTAACTCTTCTGTTGTTCATCAGCCGTGGAGGGTTTCATTAAACTTTATTTTTGACGTAGTTGATCTGTTAACGATATGAATATGGTTTCTGTCCACGTAATGTGAATTAACTATAATTAAATGTGTATGGAACTGGCTTCTCAAGATAAAATTATGTGTTGACGTTTATTCCTTTTATAAAGTTATTCATGTTATGTTCTGACTTAATATGCATCTATTCGTTCACGTAATACAGAATTTTAAGTTCTCGTCTGCAGAGTCCGTGTTTTCTAAACTGCGGACCCGTTATTCTAGGTGTGTTTTTCGGATGCTGCGACACTTAAGGCTATGTTTACTTATAAAAATATGGAAACTAGGCTAAAACGTATATAACTCTATAACTTCAAGTGAGATGCGTGCTTTCAAAATAAATAACGAATCCAATGGAATATATGAATGAAATCTGGATCTCTCGTGGCGTATAAATGGAAACTGCGCTCGGGAGCCGGGCAGCGGCACATTTTGAAAACAGACATCCTAATGTATTCGCTCTTTCTTTGTATTTACTTTTGAAAGCTTCTGAATATTTGATTTCAAGTTATTTTACACCTTTTCCCTAAAAGACGGATCTGTCTTACTTCAGTGTGAATATAAATGTTTATCTGTTTTCCTTCTCATCCACCATTCTTGATACATGGGTTATTCCTATATGTATCCGGGATACTGTAATATCAAAACTTCACTGCAAAAGTGGCCCAACTCTCTCGCCTTTATATGAGGTGGATAAAATTAATATAGACGGCCGTTAAGTGAAATAACACTGAATTAACAAGTGATATATTTATAAAGGTAGTTGGCTTGTTCTGTTCCTCTGGAGGACTGATATAAGTTTATTCTATTACAGTAGTCCTGAAGGTAAATTTTCCTCTCCAGTTGCGTAAGAATACGTAATAAGGGATAATTTGCAATAAACTGCCTATATTATACTTTTCACCAAATATTATTATGGTGATAAAATCGGTTTGCATATTTGTAGGTATATTGTGGTATCCAACTGGCGGCCCGCAGGCCACATCCAGCCTGAAACAATGTGTAACCAGACACACGAAAGTATTTGTTAATATGTTACTAGTTTCTAGAAGCTCGTGTGTTTTCTTTACTCGTGGGGGATCTGAAAAATAAACGTGGTCACTACCTCATCTGCTGCTGTACGTACAAGTTCCGTACAAGCTATTGACTTTGAAACCCTATCGTAAAATGATTACAGGTTACGGTTCTGTCAAATGAGAATTATATTCGAGTGTGTAATATGGGCATTCGTCATTTCTGAATAACGAAAATGGTCATTTAGTTTCAGAGAGTAATGCCCTTGGGTCTAATGGGAAAACTATTATTGGTCCAAAGAGGATGGAAGAAATTTAAACTATCCTTAGGTAAAGTAGACCGTATTTCTGAAAAGCAAGAACGGCAGTAGACCTAATACTGGAAGGTTGGTAGGTACTACAGGATTAAATTTGTTTTGTTGCTAAGGTTTTGGTGTAATTCTGGTCTGGATAACAATGGCCGGCAGTCATACTGTAGCACCAGTAATATAACCCACATTCCGATGTTGGCAGCATTGCGTACATTCCGTTCATCCATCTAACCAAGAAACCTCTGTCCGTATCCACATAATATGTAGTGGAATTCACACACGACGCACAAAAATGTCACCACTCTGGAATACTGTTACAGTTGGTGACTCTAGAGTAATGCTGTTAGCGATTGATCTGTGTATTATGGAAAATGTGGAGAAAAGTTTGTGGACTGTGTGCGTGGAAAACCCTATTTTAACCTCGGGTGAAGAACGAGATCTTTCGAAATTCAATGCGCACTACATTACTATCCGAGTGTCACGAGGTGCTTATAAGGTTGTCCAGAAACAACATTTCATTTATATTTATACTTCCACTTTTCATGTTGTTTGCTTTGTATTTATGTTATTTAAATTGCAACTCGAACATTTATAAGCTTTTGTGATAATCAATCCAACAAGTTGTTTTATATGCTTGTTAGGAAGAACTTAACAGAACAAGCTTTACACCTGTCAACACTTTGCAATTATTTATTCACTATTATATTCTCATTCGACGTTGTATAGTCTGAGCTACTTAAAAGCGTCGTTAAATAAACCATAAATGAACACTGTCCGACGCCATATATGTTTTCTGTCTCAAATAGTTTTAGTTTTCCAAAATTTTGTTACCAGTTACTGGATTATTTTATGTTCGAGAATGAATACACTTTCTGCTCTTAAATAGACTATACCTGCTACTTGTTTTATTCTTCTACCATTGTACGTGGTTGGTTTTGGGTTGCGTTGTAATTGGTCCATCATATAATTGGCATTATATTAAGTTTACTGCATGTTGAGAATTTCTACCTACACTAAATTGTCAGATATTTCGTTGTATCCGACGTGCAGTGCCGGAAATTTTCATTTTATCAACAGTCGACTCAGCATGTAACGAAATGAATTACACTCCCCCACCACGTACCTTCTATATTTTATGTACTCAGTAGCTACAGAAACTTTACTGTTTAGGATCTGGCGTGATATTACCGTAAATAAAATAAAGAAGGCTCAGCAAATATTAATTACAATATTTTACAATAAACTCTTTTGTTTGCAAATTTGTAATATTTAAAATATTATTTTTGTAAGAGATCTTATTTTTTAATTAAAATATTTTACAATAAACTCTTTTGTTTGCAAATTTGTAATATTTAAAATATTATTTTTGTAAGAGATCTTATTTTTTTAATTTTCTTCGTAATTTAGTAATATCGTAAATGTTGTTGATATTCACCCAAATCTTTCTCATTAG